TAAGGGTTTGGAGAAATGAAAGCAGAGCCAGGAGACGTCCATAGATCTGGGGGGGCTGTTATGACAGGAAACAATGGCTTCTCATATTACGTTTTTTGTTTCATAAAGGTGTCTAACATCTTGAAAAGATATTTGTTTTAACTTCACTTTGTATTTTGTGCAATGAGTAAATTCAATTTGCTTAACAACTCTCTACCAAATAAATCTTTCAGTTGCTTCCTATCTTTGGCTATTGCAAACAATGATACCAGAATAAACTGGAGCATACTTTATATTGTCTTTCTTCTCATATGTGGGATAACTTCCCCCAAACAAAACTTCTCAGTTGGAAAGCATATACTTTTAGAACTTGGAGAGCTATTTCTAATTTATCCTGCTCAAAAATAGAGAGGAAAGACATAGTTTATATTTGTTTGGATTTGCATTAAGAACCAATGCTCTTTCTGGCAATGCATTTAGCTTTTTTCCATAGCTGTGCTTATACAATGCGTTATAAAATTTGTCTATTTTTCCTACGAAGTTTAAAAATGGAGTACCAGTATTTTCAATTCTTATTAATGAAGTTGAAAATCTTTTCACACATTTGATAACCACTGGTTTGTTTTGTAGATGTTGTATGTTTGTTTTGAAGTTTTTTGGTTGCTTAAGTCAATTTCTAAGAAATCTTTATTTATTTATTACGTACAGTCATCCTTTACCAATGAGATCAGTTGATATTTCCCCCTAGTTTTTTTTGTCTTTTCACTTTACTTATATCTCCCGTGCTTTACAAAGGGGGTTTCCTTCCTTCTTCTGCAGTTAAATTGAAATCAGTTCTTTAATGACTACATTTGGAATGAGAACCCATGGTGGCTCAGTGGCTAGGTGCTCACCTGCTAACTGAAAGGTTGCCTGTTCAAACCAGACAAGCTGCTCCGTGGCAAAGATGTGCTGGTCTGCTTCTCTGGATTACTGCCTAGGAACCCCTGTGGGACAGTTCTACTCTGCCCTAAAGGTAGAGGAATCAATTTGATGACCACGTCTTTTGTTTGGAGATTTGGGATAGGAGCCTTGGAGAAAAGTGGCTAGTAACTGATATGTTGGGGGTTTGAACCCACCAGCCACACAGATGTGGGAATTTGCTTCCATAAAGATTACGGTCTTAGAAACACGGGGGCAAAGGGGAGGGTGCAGTTCAACACTATACTAGAGTGTAACCAGACATCGAAATAGAGTCAAAGGTAACGGATTTTCCAATTTGGAAACAGAGAAGATAATGAAGAAGTAATTAACTCTAAAGTAATGAAGAACAGTCTCAAGTTTTCCTTTAGAATGATATGGTTTCTTTTTGCATTTAAATTATTGACACATTTAGAATTGTTTTCAAATCCAAGGTCTGATGACTGTGAGAGTATTATGAGTGTTATGAGAGGAGGAGAGGTGGGAAGAGGAGGCAGACCAGGTGGCTTCCCAGCAGAAGTGGCAGCTGGGTGTTGAAGAACAAGTGTCGTAGGTGGAGAATGAAGGGCAGGAGTGCAGGGACAGAATTTCCGGAAAGAGGATAACACAAGTCAAGTTTCCAAGGTCAAAAAGCAGACTATGTCAGGGAAGGACTTCAGAGCAGCAAGAGTGGTGCTGTGGGGGTGCAGAATGTGCGTGGAAGGTTAACAGAAGAAACAGAAGGGAACCCAGTCGTGGCAAGCCCTGCTGCATATGCTAGTGATGAGAATGTGCCTCCTGGAGAACTAGAAGTGACGGATAGCCAGAGTCACTGCCACTGAGTTATGCCAGCTCATAGTGAGGCCAGAGGACAGGGTGGAACTGCCTTTGTGGGTGTTTGAAAGGCAACTCTTTACAGGAGTCGAAAGCCCCATTGCTCCCTGGTGGCAGGGCGGGTGGTTTTGTGAATTACTGACCCTGTGCCCCACAGCTAACCACCACACCACCAGGGATCTTCAGTATACGATTTTTACAAAAATACGAGTCTTTTTATTTTTTGCTAAATATAATTTTGTAGGAAAATAATTTAAAGTTGAGACTACCATTTTCCTATCCTTTTGGTATTAAAATGCTGACTCATATTCCCTCTTTGAAATGTTTCCCATATGACCCTTATTGAACACGCACTGCTGTGAAGTTGAACAGCCATCAATGAAAGGCAGGCAAAAACATGCTCCTGTGACACGAGAAACCCCATTTTCAATGCACCGGTGTGGGGAGGGAGGGGAAAATGAGGAACTGATACCAACAGCTCAAGTAGAAAGAAAGTGTTTTGAGAATGTTGGCAACAAATGTACAAATGTGCTTGACACAATGGATGTATATATGGATTGTGATGAGCTGTAAAAGCACCCAATAAAATGATTAAAAAGTAAATAAATAAAAATGCATGTACCAGTGTGGCATAATTACCCATATTTAATTTTCTTTAGGGTACGAGAGTTCTGTGTCTCATTATTTTATGGCTCAATTGGTTCTTTGCATAATATATCTCAAGACAGTCTTTCCCCAGGAGTTTCCACTTCCAAGCAGTTTAAGAAACTCAAATCCCCCAAGCACATACAATATCAGGCACTTGAACCCCTCAAAGGTGGAGAAGGGTGCACCCTGAACTTGCACGCAGGTCCCTAATGCTGCACAAAGTAAAATACAGTATCTGGAGCCCCCATGGGAGAACCTAGTCTCTTCTGAAACTATCAATCACGTGTCTAAAATTGTCATGTGGCTTAACCTTTGCCAATGGACTTGATCTTGGTCACTATGAGTGATGTCCTATAATATGGCAAGTGAGGTGAAAATGCCTATTCTCATAATGATGATAATGTGGGCATTTTTTCCTCCATGTCCTTATCTGTTGAAACAACATCTTGAAATACTTAAGTTGAGGCCTCCTTTCTATTTCCACTCATGTGCCCTTCCTCATCCCTGCTACAATTTTTAAAAATTTAAATTGGTCCATAAAATTCAAGCTAGCAAACCATTCACAGCCATTTGAGTTGGTTCCGACTCACAGTGAAATGCTAGGGCAGAGCAGAACTGCCCCAAAGGGCAACCAGCTTGTACATCTTCATGAAAACAGACGGTCTCATCTTTTTCCTGCTGGGGTCGAACTGCCCTTCAGTTAGCAGCCATGTGCCTAACCACTGTGCCATAGGGTCCACGTGGTGCCTTTTGGATTGGAGTTGGTTTGGATTCCTATCAAGCCTGTGTCCAAGAGCACACAACACTGCCGGTCCTACTTATCCTCCCACTTGCTGTTTGAGGCCATCGTTGCAACCTCTGTCAATGCATCTTGTTGAAGGTCTTCATCTACGTTACCAAGGATTGGTCCTTCTCCAGGACTGGCCCTTTTGATAACATGTCAAGTCTGTGAGGACATTTCACCATCCTTGTTTCTAAAGAACATGCTGGTTGTACTTCTTCCAAGACAGGTTTGTCCTTCTGGCAGTCCTTGGTACATCCACTATTCCTGGCCACCACCATCATTCAAATGCAACACGTTGTCGATGATCTTCCTTATTCCTTGTCCAGCTTTCACAAGCTGACACTACGGCCAGTGGACTCACAGCGACCCTCAAAGACAGCAAAACTGCCTCTGGGGGTGTCTCAGGCTGTAACTCTTTACAGGAGCAGACAACCTCTTCTTTCTCCCAAGAATGGCTGGTGGTTTTGAACGGCCTGCCCTTGCAGTTAGCAGTCTTAATGTCTATTATGTTACCAGAGTTCTTGTCACATCATATAAGATGACTGAAAATATGATAGTTTGGGTCAGGCATACTTTAATCCTCAAAATGACGTCTTCTCTCTTCATGGAAGTAGATTTTCATCTTACTTAATAAACTCTAATGACATAAATGTACCATAGCTATCCTATACTTCCGTACAGTGTGTTTGAAGCCAGGATTAATAAACGACAATGCCTGTGTTGAACTGAGTGCTGCTACTTCGTGGTTATGTGACCCTGTGTGTGTCTCAGTTTCCCATCTTTTAAATGAGGCTATGAGACTAATTAGAGCAATGGTCCTCAACCCTGAGTGAGTACCAACCTGGGGGGCACTTGGCAATATGGAGACATTTTTGTGTGGCACAACTTTGGGAGGGAGGAGTTACTGGCATTTAGTGAGTAGGTGCCAGGACCGCAGCCAAGCTTTCAAGAATGCACAGGGCAGTCGATACCAAAGGGTCCTCTAGCCTAAAAGGTCAATAGTGCCAAGGATGAGAACCACTGTCTTATAGGATAATTGGGATGATTATTATGAGTTATTATATATTACACTTGGAACAATAAGCACACCTTAAGTGCCACCTACTGTTATAACCAACAATTGTGCTAGTTTATGGAATTTTCTCATTTCATTAAAACAATTTTTTAATGTTTAAAATTTTATATTGAAGAGACACCATTATTAATTTATAGGCGAGGAAATTGAAGGTTTGAGTGACTAAGTAGGTAGCCTGCCCAAGATCAGTTAATCAAAGATACAGCTAGTACTCAAACCCAGTTTTATGTGATATCAAAAGCACCAGTTTCAGCACTTGTTCAAGGGAGCCCTAGATATCATATGTAACGATACATATGTAAATGTATCTAGGACACTTTCAGTTAGAGGTCAGCCTTAAATCCCCCTTCTAATCCTTGCATTATGCTGCCTCTCAGTAGCATATAGACTCTAGAAAATTCAGCCAAACTTTTAATTTTCCTTTACTAAAAGTAGAACTTCATGGAAATTAATTCCAGCTTTCAAAAGGTCTATTTTAGAGATTCTTCCTGTAAGGGAACCAAGCAGACTCTTTGTAAATACGTCCACGGTCCCTTCTTGCTCCTCTAGTTGTAGCCAGAAACCGGAGCCCATTCTTTTCGGACCACCACCGACGAAAATCATGTGAGAAGCCCACGTGAAGGACTGCTGGGCTCTTTGGCCTTTTGGAGCTTAGGCAAGTTTACAATGTGCAGGAAGGAATGTTTGAAAGCAAGCCAAGGCCTTCCAGACATTATTTTAAAAACATCTCAGAAACAGAAGCATGCTACAATAGTTAATTTTATTTTCCAAGCGCCCATACAGCAAACATTAAGCCAAGCATGTGCCTTCATCCTGCGGGCCCAAATTCACATATTTAGGAAGAAAAAAGCAAACTGATCCATACACAAGGAGAATAACTAAAGGCTCATGTTAATCACATAGGAGTTTTTCATTTCTATAGCATAGAACTCAAACGTCACAGGTCTCTTAGGTCCTTCTGGATGTCCCACAGAGTGTCTGCACTCTTCTTGAGTTGAGCAACCTCATCGTCCTTCAGCTTCTGGTTGACAACACTGGTCAAGCCCCGGGCATTCAGAATACAGGGGAGGCTCAGGAAGACTTCATTCTCAATGCCATACATCCCCTGCCAGAAACAGAAAGTCCACTTCGATTATGGAGTGAAAACACTCGGGAGGAATGGTCACAGGTCCCATGTTTGAAAAGAAAGGATCGTGGGAAATTTGGTAAGCGCAAACTTACTCTTTAACTTGCATCACTCATATTTTCCCAAATACTTATATTTTGAATTAAGTTAATTGCATACACAGAATATGCAAATTATACTATATTATAACTTGAATACATAGCAGGAATTGATAAGTATTGTATTCGTTGACACAACAGCCTTTGCTTAGATGGTCTTTTAAAGAAATGTGAAATTATAATATGCAAATTAAATTGCAATTACCATGTATACTCGAGAAGAAGCCGACCCAAATATAAGCTGAGGCATCTAATTGTACAACAAAAAACTGGGAAAACTTATTGACTCAAGTATAAGCCTAGGGTGGGAAATGCAACTACTGATACATTTCAAAATAAGAATAGATATCAATAAAATTACATTAATTGAGGCATCAGTAGGCTAAATGTTTTTGAATATTTAGAAATATTACACACTTACAAAAGTAAGAGAATGAGCACATTCCTCTCTGAGTATACATCCCAACACTCATCAATTCCTAATTTTTGCCTTGTTTTTATGAATTTTGCTTTTGAATTTTAAGACAAATACCTCATGATCATTTAACCCCAAATTATTTCTATATGCATGTCTTTTGCACTTGTGCATAATACTTCTCAAGTTTCTTTTATAAATCTATTGTATTCCCTCCTTTCCTTTTACCCACTTGTGGAAAAATTAATGAATAATCTTAAGGTTTTAGTATTTTACTATGATTGAAATATAATCAATTTCCATTTTGATTATGTGTTTATCTCATAACTTTTGAGTGAAACTAAATTTGCTGAGCTGTTGGGGCAACATCAAAATCAACCTATCATTTAATACATCAGTATGAAGTGAAAGCCCATTATACTTATTTAAGAAGTCTGTGTTTTGAGAATGTACTGGATGAAATTCAGCATAAACATGATTATTTAAAAATTCAGTTCTATATTGGAGGATTAGAAAATTATACTGGACCCTCCACAAGCTTCACGCTTTTATTCTGGACTTCCTTGGGAGAGAAAGATGAGGAAGAACTATAAATGAGGTTTAGAAACACTACTTTTCAAATGCCTATTTTTTCAATATATTTAAACTTACAGCAATAATAATAATAAAAACATTTAAGTGCAATCAATGTGGTTATTGTTTAATTCACAAAATACTCATTTTCCAGCTTTCCTTTCCCTAGTCCAACTTTTCTTTCCCTGTATATTCCAGAAATAATACTTATGGAACACTAGCAAGAAATTAGCCTGTATTTTTAATCAATGTATCTTACCTTCACCATCGTGGACACTGGATGAATCCTGGAGAGATTTTTGAACATCGATTCAATAAGATCAGCTACACTTAATCCAATAGCCCAGTTGGTGTAACCCTTTAGTTTGATGACTTCATAGGCACTACCGGGAAAAACATAAGAAATGAAATTCAACTAAACAATTATCGAACTAGACTGCTGGGTTTGGATCCTGCGCTTAATAACTTTAACAGTCGACAAGTTCTTTCACCTGTGATGATGGTATCTACTTTGTAAGTCTGTTAAGAGTGTTAGATGAGTTTGCCTGTGAAAAACTCTTAAAATATAAAGACTACACGGTAAGCACTATAGAAACATTCTGCAATGTTTAAATGGCCTATTTTGTAAGTCAACATGAATAATGCCACAAGGGTAAATATGTGCATTTTTCCAACCAGTCAGATTCATAAACATGCATATTTTCAAATGACATTAGGAAACATTAGAAAAAGGTCGTACATTCATATACAAAATATACCTTGATTCTAAGGTTGAACTTACTACCATCATAAACTAAGACAGTGTGACTAATTTACTTAAAAGCAAAGCGATGGCATTAACTTGCCTGGTAATTTTCACAACCCTAATTATATTCATTAGAACATAAAGGAACTGGTTCTTGAGAGGAGTTATTTACAGCAAATATTAACCCTGGACGAATATCAAACAACTTGAATTTAATGCCACCCACCACTGACTAGTCTTATGCAAATTACATTCCCCAGGTGAGCTTATGTTTTCATAAATACAAAATAAAAGGACTATGTTAATTAAAATTCTAAGAATTCTTTTCATGTCAAATGTTTATTATGATGTTTTTCCTTCATATATAAGTCAAATCCCTAGAAAAGCCACATCACTAAAAAAGTCCCATGCTTGACATTATAATCAATTTTTGTAAATTGATAGCATTTGTTGAGTGTTTACCAATCAACTCTGTTGGCAGTGAGGGTTTGTTTTTTTTTGTGGTTCCAAAAGACTAAGTATGATTTATATATGTGTGTATACTTTATTTGCTCTTCATAATCATTTCTTTATACTGTAACTTTACAAAGAAAACTTAGCTTTATCTTAAAAGGTTCCAGAGCTTCCTCAAGACTAACGGTGCCCAAGAAACAGTGCCTTGTCTTGAGTTCAAGCTCATACCTTTCGTTTCTCTTTAGTCATTTTCAATGTAACATGATTTTATGATAAACATAAAGTTTGTAAATAAGAAAGACCAGTTCAAAAAAAAGATGATTTTTTTTTTTGAGTGTGGATAGGGCAGTTAAGCATTTGACAACCAATCAGAAAGGGTTTATTTGAGGGAATTATGGCACTAATAGCTCTCTGTTTACCATCTTTGGGTAAGTAACCCTATTCATTGACAGGAGGCAATTGGAAACCAAGCTCACTTGTTAATTTCTTGTTTCGTTCCCGTTACCTCTCAGAATGAAATTCCCCAGAGAACTGTCAAAACAAGTTTGACCAGTAGTTAGTCTTGTCTGTTATAAAAGATAACACTTGCATGCTTACTCATTAGCAGTTTATCTGAGCAGGCAATCAGTGAAATTGCTTATACTTTTATACAAGTCAAGATGAAATTAATCAGTTTACATCAATCTCTCTTCCACTGACCTTTCAACCACCATTTTATGCACTTCCTTCCAATTTTCACTGTCATTGTCTGTCCCCATCTCTGGATTCAGTTCCTGAAGAGAAACCCCCGCCACATTCACGCCACTCCACACGGCCACTGTAAAGACAGATAGACACCACTGTAAAGACAGGCATTTCTGATAGAATTTCTTTAAAAAAAAAATCCTTTCTTCAGATTTTTATCCCTAATGTGAGCTACCCAGCGAGCAGTGACGCCAGTAGAGCGCCCCAAAGGTGGACGTGGGAGTCTGGCTCTGAACTAATTTTTTGGTGTCTAACTTTCCTCTTGCTTACTTTTCTGGAATATAAGCTCTTTTCTTCTAGAATGAGCAACCACTAGAAATCTAAGATAAGGCTCAGATAGAGTCTAATTATCACTAGATCCTCTAGTGTCTCACGTTCAGTTTCTCTCTCAAAAGAAACCCCTAACATGACAGTGGATTTTTCTGGTCTTGACACTTTCTTCCAAGAACAACTCCAGAGGCATAACAATATTGTTCATCACTGATTGTATAAGAGACTTCATTGTAGCAAAACAATCCTCTTCATTCCCCCTAACACCTGTTGTCCAGCCGAAAGATATGTTGAAGATCTAAGCACACAAAATGAATTCTCAAGACACCTGCTCTGAACCATGGGCAAGTGCAGATGCTACCCAGAGAAACAGACAAGCCAACATCTAAAGCAATGGCATATGAGCAATCACAAAGTGGTGGAGAAATGTAATGAAACATGAATAAGAACTTAATTACACGTGACCTGAATTTGTTCTGGGTGCAAATATCTCTTACTTGTTCCACGAAAGAAATTTCTTTTTGAATGTTGAATATTGATGGGGGTGGTCTTTTCCTTCTTAATCATTATTTGTACTTTTGTCTTTATATAATTACTATTTAATCCTTACCACCTTATCTCGAGTTTGTTTTTTATTGTTCCTGTTGGGTTTCCCAGTTTGAGAAGCACAGGAGGAGTGGATGCACAGTGATAATAACTGAAACAATGGTTTATGAGGGATGGAAGCGCAGGGAGTGGCTGACGGGGAAGGTACAGGGATCTCAAAAGCAAAGGATGAGGGCGGGAGGTGGGAAGGAGCACTAGAAGGGATTGTGATTGCACAACTCATTTTAAAGGTGATTTAACCACAGGGGTGGGGATGCTCTAAAACTGATGTGGTCATGATTGCACAATTCTCCTTGATATGCCTGAATGACTGAACTATTCAACTGTATGGTATGTAAATGATGTGCCCATCAAACTGTCCCCAAAAAAAGGGCCTACTTAAGAGAAGAATTGTCAGAAAGGGCTACAAAAGCAGACTGGATCTTGGAAAAATGAACATTCCCCAAAGCCCTTTGAAGGAGAGAATTCTAAATTTAGGAAATATGGGCACAGGCATGGGATTATAGTACGACTAGAGTCAAGTTTTGAAAGAAAAGCTATTCATATCAAAATAAGACCCCCAGTGCACAATTATGTTGAACAAAGTATGACATTTTCATATCCTTTGGAAACCTGATGAGAACTACAAAATCTACCTAAGTATAGTCACGTGACAATAGTTATAGTCTCTTTTCTGTAGATGATACAGATCAATAATGGAAGCAGAAAGAAATACTGGAAAAAATGAGTTTTGAGCAAAACGAGTATCAGGCAGTCAATCATCAGAAGATATGATTCTAGTTGTAGTCTTGCCATTAGCTGAAGGATCTTCAACAATTCACTTCATCTGTTTTTACCTCAAAATGCACGTGTTGACCTAGAGTTTATGTAATATCATCTCTGGCCTGTGGTCTGGTCAAAATATAATTTCAATAGGTATAATTAATTGAGCTCACAGTGTAAATCCCCAAACTCATCATCATCGAATTGACTGTGACTCACAGAAAACCTACATAGGGTTTCTGAGGCTGTAAATCTCAATGGGAGCAGAGAGCCTCCCCTATCTCCTGAGGAGTGGCTGGTAGGTTTGAAGCACCAACCTTGAGGTTAGCAGTCCCATGCTTATACTGTAAGGCAGCAGTGACTCCATGACAGGCCAAGCCTCTTAAGGCAGGCCGGAGTTTCGTTTCTCTAACAAAGTCACCCTCTCCCCCGAAATGACGCTGACCACACCTGAAAAGGCCCAAGTGATCACAATGACGCTGACCGCACCTGGAAAGTTGTGAGTGACCACAATTGGAACGACCGAGAGTGGAGCCAGTCAACCAAAATGACTTACACAACCAATTGTCTTCAGATGAAGTCATTGAACTATGGGAGGGGGAGGGGAGAGGGAATAGTTTCAGCCAGCTTATGTAACCTGTAAAAAGTATAAAAACGTGGCTTGTGCCCCAGGCTGGGGTCCTCGTCTCAGAGGAGGCCACTGCATTGGTGCTCTGGGACTTGGGCCCTAGCTCGAGCTCGTCAATACACTCCTTTGTTGTTTGCAGCCTCAGTGACTCTGCCTCTCTGTTCCTGGGGCCACGGGAAAGCCGGCAGTAACAATACCCCACTTAAAAGTACACTGTTCTTAAGTGCGATCAAGTCCAATTCTAACTCATAATGACCCCCTGGACAACAGAATAGCACTGTGCCATCCCCCAAACTGCTATGTGTGAGCCACTGCTGCATCCTCTGAAGCCATCTAGCACGATCGTCTTCCTCTTTTTGGCTCTCCCTCCACTTTACCAAGCAGGATGACTCCTCTAGGGAGTGGTCTCTCCTGACAACACATCCAATGTAGGTAAGACAATATCTCACCAGCCTTGCCTCGAAGAGCACTCTGGCCATCCTTCTTTGAGGATAGATTTGTCTGTCCTTTTGGCAGTTCATCATATTTTCAATACTCTTCACCAGCACCACAAATCAATGCACGGATTCTTCTTCCGTCTCCTTTCTTCAGTGTCCAACTTTTACATGTAAATAAAGTGAGCTGACTGAAAATCTCTTGGTTTGGGTCAGGCCCCCCCCAAAAGTGACATTCTTGCTCTTCATTACTTTAAAGAAGTCTTGTGCAGTGGATTTGCCAAGTACAACACACGCTTTGTTTTCTAGAGTACTGCTTCCGTGAGCATTGATCCAAGCAAGATAAAATCCATGGTAACATCAAACTATTCTTCAATTATCACAGTGTCTATGGGTCCAGCTGTGAGGATTTTTGTTTTCTTTACATTGAGATGCTCACAGCCAACAAAGCACAAAGGTACAATCGTACAATGCCCAGCCCATGGTCAGCCTCACAACTGCTGCTACATTGTAACCCAATGGTGCAGCCATTAAGCCCATCTATCTCAGCGAAGAGTATTTCTGTTTCATACTGACCCACTACCTTACCAACCCGCTGCTTCCATGGGCACATGATTGTGGATCTATGTATAAGGAAATTCCTTACAACGTCAATCTTTCTCTTTCACTTATCATGATGTTTCACATTGGTCTAGTTGTCAGAACTTCAGTTTTCTTTATGTTGAGGTGTAATCCATACTGAAGGATGTTTGTCTTTGATCTTACTCAACATGTGCTTCACGTACTCTGCCTTCAGCAAGGAAGTGGTGTCATTGGCATATTCCAAATTGTTACTAAGCCTTCCTCCAATACTCATGTTGTGTTGTTTCTCTTCATATAGTCCAGTGGTTCTCAACCTGTGGGTCACGACCCCTCTGGGAATTGAACGACCCTTTCACAGGAGTCGCCCGATTCATAATAGTAGCAAAATGACAGTGATGAAGTAGCAACAAAAGTAATTTTATGTTTGGGGGTCACTACAACATGAGGAACTGTATGAAAGGGCCGCGGCATTAGGCAGGTTGCGAACCACTGATCTAGTCTCAGATTACTTGCTCAGCATACACATTGAGTAAGGTAAAGGATGCAAGCCTGATGCACAACTTGCCTGACTATAAACCCCACAGTAACCCCTTACACTCTTTGAATGAGTCCCATTGAGTCCCTTTTGGCCTATAGTCAGGAGGACACAGGTAAATATTTTTCTATTATTGTTTTTTCTTTCAACCAAGATCTGATGTGAACAATGATCTCTCTCCTTTTACAGCCTCTTCTGAATCCAGTTTGAATTTCTGGCATTTCCTCATTGATGTACTGCTGTAGCCATTTTTAAATTACCCTCACCAAAATTTTACTTTCATGTGACGTTAATGCTTGTTTGATAATTTCCACATTCTATTGCATAACCTTCTGGAAGAATGGGCACACATAGAAATCACTTCCAGCAGTTGATCAGGTAGTGGTCTTCCAAATGTCTGGGAAAAGACCTCCAGTTTGTTTAAACACCTCAATTGGTTTCCATCAGTGTCAGGAGTCTTGCTTTTTGCCAGTGCCTTCAACGCAGCTTCAACTTCATCCTTAAATACCATCTAGATAGCGGCCAATGGAACCCTTGAAGCTCTGGACCATTGTGAATCTTCAGACCTAATGATGAACTCACCCCTGTGGCTCAATTTTCAACCAAATCACAGACAGGTCTGTAAGAGGCACAAAACACCAGTGAGGAGAGCGCACCTTTGAATAAGCAGCCATTTGGGATTACCATGATAGCATTTACCCAGCGATGAATTGCAGAAGGTTCAGGAAAGAAAAAGAAGTGAAAACAGGAAGCACAGAGAGGATGAGGGATAAGTGATGTTACATTGTGGAGATTGAAATAAAGGGCATGGAATAAGATGTGTAACAATTATTACATGAAACACTGATCTGCTCTGTAAACCTTCATCCATGTCACTATAAAAAGTGAAAAAGAAAAACAAAAAGCCAAACAGTTCTTGATCATATGCTACCTCCTGAAATGGTTGATACAATGGGTCTATGTATACCTTTCATATATATAACAATTACCCTAATATAATTGATGAGGAAACTGAGGGCTAGAGAAGTCAAGAATGTGTGAAGTACCACATCTTGTTAAGAGGGAATAGGGTGACCCAGAACAAAATCATACCCAATGTGAATGGGGGTGGGGGGGACACACGGAGTGGAGACCCAAAGTCTATCTGTAGACAATTGGACATCCCCTTACAGAAGGGTCACAAGGAAGAGATGAGCCAGTCAGGGTGCAGTATAGCACTGATGAAACACACAACTTTCCTCTAGTTCTTTAATGCTTCCTTCTTCCAACTAACATTCCCTTAATTCTACCTGACAAATCGGACTGGACCAGAGCATACACATTGCTACAGATAAGATTCCAAAACACAGGGAATCCAGGAGAGATAAACACTTCAGGGACAACAATGAGAATAAGAGATACCAGGAGAATAAGGAGAAGGTGGGGGGAGGAAGGGGGAGTCAATCACAAGGATCAACATATAACCCCCTCCCAGGGGGATGAACAACAGAAAAGTGTGTGAAGGGCAACAGAGGATGATGTAATATATGAAAATAATAATCTATAACTTATCAAGGGTTCATGAGGGAAGCAGGGTGGGGGGAAAATGAGGAGGTGATATCAAGAGCTCAAATAGAAAGAAAATGTTTTTAAAATGATGATGGCAGCATATGTACAAATGTGCTTGACACAATGGATGAATGTATGGATTGTGATGGGAGATGTAAGAACCCCCAATAAAAGTGTTTAATTAAAAAAAAAAGAGGGAATAGGGTATAAAATAATGGAGCTATCGGACTAAAAACTTCCTGTACTCCAAATAGTCTAGGACAACTTGTGGGTTGTGACTCCTTTGAGGGTCTAACAACCCTTTCACAGGAGTTGCCCAATTCAAAACAGTAGCAAAATTACAGTTATGAAGTAGCAATGAAAATAATTTTATGGTTGGAGGGGTCACCACGGTGGTTCTTAACTTTCCTAATGCTGAGACCCTTTAATACAGTTCCTCATGTTGCGGTGTTATGAATCAGGCGACCCACAGTTGAGAACCACTGTCCTAGAGGGAGATATAAGATTATAAAAACTTGACCAAAAAAAAAAAAAAAAAAATTCAAGCAAGTCCTTGGGCGAAAAACTCTAGTGTGAAATATTACTAGGTGTCAAAAAATCAGCAGTATTATATAGAAAAGCATAAATAAATTATACAACCCTAAGAGCATAGATTTAGAACAAAGCTTAACTCAATAAAATCACAAACTCTCATTGAACTCAAAGGAATATTTTTACTTTAAAGTAAAATGACTTTACTTTAAAAAAATGACTTCTAAAGAGTAGTCATTTGCATATTACAATTCAGAAATGCATTTAATAAAATAAATATTATGTAGTGACTTTATTACAACGAAGTATCATGAGTATAATCAATATATTTTGGTTTAATAAATAGGTTTAGAGTTATATAATAGAGTTATAATTTTTTATAAATGCTTTTTTGTTTTCCCCCATAAATGCTTTTACATTTAGACTAAAAACAATTTAAATTCTAAGAGAAATATTCATTTAAAACAAAATATTTATAATAAAGTTTGAAATGTAGTTTCAAAACAAAGCATTACGAAATAAAATAGAAGTGTAATTAATTTTAATATTGGTCTTTTTATAATGACCAATTTACACTCTAACTATTCTTTCATTTAAATCATTAAAAAGCATACTTGACAAAAATGCCATGTGCTCTACTTAAGTGATTAATAGTTGTAATTCATACTTTTATTAAAACTCAGATTTCAGCTGATTCAAGATATATTTTGCATTATAGAATAACATGCACAGACTATTTAAAAGCTTTTGTTGTAATACATTGCTTCTTCAATAAACATCAGGCTATATATAAGAGCTCTGTTAAATGGTAGTGTCTTAAAACAAAGACGCATTAATAAGCAAGGGTACATCTATTGTCCACATCTTGGTTTCTCAGTACCATTCCCAAGTCAAAGGAAACAGCTGGAAGAATCTGTTATTATTCAATTCTGGAATAATTTGTGCATTATACTGTTGTAATAATATCCATGGAATATAATGAAACCTGAATCCATACTGGTATAAACATATACATGGGAGAGAAAGGAAAACTCCCTCTTATGCTACAATACAACTAGTAAATATAGAAGAGATGATGAAATCAGAATATCATATTTGGTGTCTGTCATGGTAATAGGCTGACTTAACCCAGAACCATTAGTGGACACTAAAATTAGCTGGTACAAGTTTAATGAGTAATACTTACCCAGTCTCAAAGTATGCCTTCAAAATTACTTATTAATCAGAAACGAAAAAATAATAACTTCACACTGATTAACTTAGCAAACAGAAAACCAAATGACCCCAGTGAATATTGCACTGATACGTGTGCCTGCTGGTACCAGGCCCTGAGAAGGCCCCACACACTTCTCTGCCAAGAGTGTTTGTGTCAGTAGTACACACACTCGACCTATCTTGAAAAAAATCACCAAAATCATGAACAGATATTCTATAAAATAGGTCACCTTGGGTCCTCAAATATATCAAGATCAAGATCAACAGACAGACTGAAGTACTGTCACAGACTAAAGGAAAGGAAACCGACATAATTCTATTCAATGTATTTTCTACCCCAGATATAAGCGTAATGTGCGATTTTGGCAATGGATGCTGACTTGGGGGGATAAAGAAGGGCAGAAAGGGCATCACTGAGGCATTTGTAGACACTGGCATAAGAACTCTTAGATAATATTACATCACTGCTCTTTTTCGGATTTTGATCACTGCATTGTGAGTTTGGAAAAGTGGAGTCCCTGGTTAGTGACTCGCTGGCAGCTAATTGGAAGGTTGAAGGTTGAGGCTCACCCCGACATGACTTGGAAGACAGACTTGGCAATTTAGTCCTGAAAACAATCAACCACTGGAAGCCCGGCGGAGGCCAATTCTGCCCTAGCACACAGGAGCCATCCTGAGTTGGAGGATATTTAAGAGCAGCTGTCTTTTTTATGTAAAAAAATATCCTGTGTTCGAGAAATAAAACTGATGCGTTTATGGAGACAAGGACAGGATTGATGATCGCAATGCATGCACAAGTGGATTCAGGGGAGAAAGATGACAGCTACCTATCGAGGCAGACACAGTGGAGGGAGGAGAGAAAAATGATAAAGCAACATGAAAACTATGCCATTCTTCTGTCAAGGATACGAAAATAATTTTTTTAAACATTTCAATTCAGAATGGCATGAACATCACAAGAACACAGTACATTTTTTCCATGTCTCTCACCACTCGAGTCTCCATGCTCTCCCAAAATCCATCCATGGCAGCTGCTGGGATGAATGCCAAGTTTTTCAGCCATCAGATAGCGAAATCTAGCAGAATCCAGGTTACAGCCACTTCCGATCACACGGTGCTTGGGCAATCCACTTAGTTTCCAGGTAACGTATGTAAGAATATCCACTAAAAATTTTAGAAATAATGTAAATTATTTGCTTTATTTAGAAATATCTCTGTCTGCTCTGTCTGGCTTTCTCCCCTCCCACCTCCCTCCCCATTTTTCCAAAAGACACATGGCCAGTAAAATGTAAATACTTATCATAATTAGAGATGATAAAAGGGAAAGCGATAAGAACTTTTAATTCTTATATAAAGTGACTTTTTCAAAACATGAAAAATAACAGTATTGTGTTTTTATATTTGCATTACAATTTGTACCAAATATATAAAATAACTGAACTTACTTTAAGTTGCAAGAATGGGAATAAAAAAAAAACAAGAACAGGCATGAATCCACCACTTGACGTTTCTCCCAGTTGTAGCATTCCAACATTTGGCTTATGACTGCCAGCGTTTGCCAAATGCTACCAGTTACTAACTTAGTGAAGGCGCCTGGTGGAGTAGTGGATTATGGTTGTGGAGCTGAAAACTGAAAAGTCAGAGGTTCAAATCCACCATTGGCTCACTGTGAGAAAAATGAGGCTTTCTGCTCCGGTAAATATTAACGGCTCTGAAAACTCAGAGGTGGGCAGTCCTGCTCTGCCCTATAAGATCCCTCTGAGTCAGAATGGACTCAGTGGCAGTGACTTGAGTTCTACTATGTACAAGTTACTTTTAAAAAGTAGAGAAGTGTGCTAACACGGAAGGAAAGGAGACAGATATTCATCTTGGACTCTCTACCTCCACAGTGGACACTGCTGAAGACATTTTAAGGGCACTTTGGATTGGATTACTATAAACTCTTTCTTGCCAACTTCAACTCAATGGGAATGATTTCCTGGAGCATTAGATTTTGAAACTATACCTAGAAAAATTTCATAATCAGTTAATGATGTCTGCCTTAGGCACAAGCTGGAGTAACTTAATATGTACTAGCTATTTGTCATTCCTGTTCTCCAACTATCTGTCAAATATATATTTAGAAGCAGCTTTATATGGAAGGGTTCATTATTTAGTAAACCCCAGTCCATGTCCTTGCCTGCTCCTAATTCTCCATTCTCAATAAATGAAGAAGAACTTCCCATGATTCTCATTCACAGTGATTCTCTGTATGGTAAGCACCCAAGAAATCAGTTTTACAGTTTTCGCAATGATCTATTAGGTTCACCAATAAATCTAAGTTTGGAGGTAAATGGAATGGTGATGAGAGGAAATGTAAAACAGAGTGAATTTTAGATAAAACTTTAATAAGGTGGATTCTTTCTAGCCAACTATTTTAATGTTTATTCTGCAATTATTAATATAGCAAGAAAAGCAGTTTTGAAGTCCTAACGTTTATTTTTAACAAGTCAACCCAAACATGTCCATACAATCAACCAACGTCTACTTTGTCTTTAAAAACAAGACAGGTTAAAGGGCTTTCTTTCTGCTTTCAAACTCAATTAGATTTTTGAAAAGTTTTATCCTTAAGAACACATCTATGTTTCTTCCAGGAAACAGTAGGTCGAGAATACAAAAATGTTTCCCATGAACTGAAGCCACAATATTGGAACGCTTCACTATACATGCCAGGATCATCATTACAGAAAACCCTAAAAGTCTCTAGACTCCGCAAAAGCCAAATGAAAGATAACAAATGAAATTGCTTTATATGAACTCTTGCCACAATTTGGAATGCTTAGCCTGGGATAGTGCCATTTGTTTTGCAAATACCACTCTTTTGTGGTTAGTCACAGATGTGTGAATTGCTTCTGTTAATAACAATGAGAACAGATCTTAAAAAAAATCAACAACTAAAAAACAGCCACCTACACCACGAAAAGCATTGCACTTCAAAGAACTCAGCCTTGTGCTCTTAGACCCACCATACCTGGGTTGGACACCACAATGATGATGCAGTCGGGGCTGTACTTGACGATCTGAGGAATAATGAACTTGAAGACATTGACATTCCTCTGCACCAGATTGAGCCGACTCTCCCCCTCTTGCTGACGGACTCCTGCAGTCACCACCACTATCTTCGAATTGGCCGTCACAGAGTAATCTGGCGAAGGAAAAGGAGTGCTTTGAAACAGAATTCTTTATCAAAACACACCATCTACGTAAAATGCTAGAAGGCCAATCATACAGAAGTATCTAGTATTTATATAGATGGAGATCATGTTTTCTGTACCGCAAGGTTTGAAGCTTGGAGATACTTGAACTACACACAAATAGCCCAACCAGAAAATTGGCTTAGAAAAAGTGAAGGTCCTGAATTATTTTTCTGGCCTATGAATATGAAGTGTCATCAACTTTAGCATCATGATGTTCAGAAAGAAATAAAGCATAAACTAAAGAGTGTAAGTAAGGTACTTTCAGGTTTGCAATATTCATTAAATCTAAGGAGAAGGGAGGCACTAAGGAGCTTTGGGATAGAAACAAAAACTTCAGATGTCTAATACTTCATATTTTAAAGAAGTGTATTCATCTTTGAGGAAGGTGAGGTGTTTGCTTTGTGTGTGGATATTTTTTCCCCTCAAGAAAGTATCTCAATTTTTCACACTACAGAGACGGGATGCTGATTTATTCCATGAGGGTCGCAGCTAGGGATGATGCCCCTAACTAAATGGCAGGGCTAGGTGGCTCTTCAGATGCCTCACCACGTCACCACCGAGGATGGAGATCGAAGGAATACATGCAGAATGCTTCACCCGGAACCTGGGGTGCTAATAATTTCATGACCAACAGTCTGGACTAGCACAGTAGGAAGAAATGTTCTTTCTTTTTAAAATTTTCACAGGCCATCTCTCACACAGCCATACTATGGTGGGAGGGAGTATCAAAGCATGCATGAGGTAACTCAAAAAAGTCAATTAGAACATGAATTTTATTCGTTTCTTCAGGCTCCCACATTA